CTTTCATCAGTGGATTGCTACATTGATTTGGGCTGCAGAGGTTCAATTCCATTCAAACCCATCTTGTGAAATCATTCTTAAAAGAGTTGCTGTTAATCCAAAGCAGCAATTTAATGTTATATTGCATCCCTCCCCCTACTACTTCCCTTTCCAATTCAGAGCAGGAAACGTTTGGACAGAATTCAACATTCTCACTTTCTGGATAGACTCTCAAGGAATGAGGAGGCACTTGAATTCCCCCTATATGTCATTTATTTTCCCCTAATGGCTAGAAAAACACTGGTGAAGTCCATGTAACTTACAATAGAATGCACCTTAAAAAAAAAAAAAAGGCAATCATATTCCATTCCCTAAAAACAGTCCAGCAAAATTTGACCTGACTTAGGCAGGATGTTTTTTCTCCCACTGTGGTTTGTATATTTACTATCTTCCTCTCATCCTATCTTTATTAAATATATCAGAACCTGAGGACTGAGACCAGAATTGGGGAAGGGCCAAAGAAAAGTATCTAAGAGAGGGGAGGCATCAGGTGTGCAAGATATGAATTTAAACAGACTGAGAAAACAGCAGAAGCAGCTGCGAGCAGGAAGGCCTCAGGTATCTGGTAAGTGTCTGGTAAAAACAGCTTTCATAGCAAATAAATCATAGAAATTAGAGTTAAGAAAGATATAGTGGGTCATCCAGTCTATCCCCATGAGCAAAGACAGATTGTTCCCTATGGTACTTCCTCCAGTGCTTTTGTCCAGTCTAGTTTAAAAATCTTTTCTCTCTGGTATAACCAATATCCTAAACTTCAAATAAGTTTAGGAGACCGAGCTTTTATCTGTTATATAGTACTGTGGATTAGCACCTATAAGCGTAAGTGCAGTATTCCATGGTAACCAACACAAGGATACACTTTAACCTGAGGAATAAACATTACACAAACATCCTAACTAAACAACAAGTCTACTTCCTCCCAGGTAAGAGGAAGTAGACTTACTTACAGAATATGGGTTAAACTCAAAGAAGGTTATAATATCTTTCTAGAAATGTATTCTAAATTCTTATTATTTTTTTAGCAACCAAAACTATGCTAGGCACTTTACAAAACAAATGGGAGAGACAAGGCACTTGTTCAAAGAGCATGTCATCTGAGGCCCAGCTCCGACAATCAGATCCTGAGGCGTGAAAGGGTATACCCATTGGGCCCTGTGTGGCCAGAGGGTTCCATCCATTTGGATCCAGTTGCAGGATCAAGGCCTCATATTGGACCTCATGCTACCTCTAAATTCTACCTTTTCTTTCTTTTTCTTTTTTAAAGCAGCATCTTTCATGAATGTTTCAAATTCTTTTCCCTCAAGAGGTTTTAGCCATGAAATCAATATATGTGAAAGATTTTGCTTCAGATCACATTTAACATTTCAATAGTCCCTTTGACCTTCTTAAATATCTAGGCTGTTCTCTCCACAACTTGCAATCCCTCTTGTCATTTTTAGAATGAAATATACAAATGGCATTTTATAAATTGGACTAGGCCATTCATCAAGCTTTCCTTTAAGTGACCATAGATGGTAGTTGAGGATAAGGAATATTAAACTCAGCAGTACAAAATAACAGATGACTTGATGGTTGGGTGTGCCCACCAATCCCCCCAAAATCACTTCCACAATTTGGAAGGTTGGATGACACCACTGAGGTCAAGCGCATAAGAAGCTCGTCCAGATTCTGGGATATGTAAATGTCTCATATGACACTCCAGTAGTTATTATTAAAAAATGCTGCTGAGTTGGATTTAGCAATTGGAAGAAAGTGAAAGGTATAATTCTAATTTTTGTTATATTTGACTCCTTTGTGCTTTACTGAATCATTACATCATAGGATCTATGTTCTTCACAGACACTGAAGTTTTGAAATAACATGTATATTAATATCTACAAAATTGTTATATATAGATAAGAGGAGGCAGCATGGGTTGGTGGTTGTTAGAGAGCTTATTCCTTCACTCTCCCACTTCCCTGGTCCTTCTCGCATGAACAGAGAGCAACAATACCCGAAGTCCAAAGGTGCAAACAATTCGATGTTTATTGGGATGAACTTCCAGCAAGCTTAAATACAAGTTCCTTTTTCCTTATTTTCAAATCCCAACTTACTTCCTGTTTGCCCCTAATTTATATAGTAATATTCTTAGCTATACCTTAACCAATCATTCTACTGAAATTTAACTAACCAATCCTAACATATTGTAACATGATTAGCTAACCAATTATATCCCACCACAATAATTAGATTACACCCAGCAAAATTAATTATACAGCAGACAGAAACAATCACAGAACCAGACAGAGATTATACAGACAAACAATAGCAAAGTGGGAACTATAATGACAAAACAATACAGAAGTGAGGATTTCACATCCCAGCTATTGATAAGTGAGTTCTTGCCAGACAGGATGCTATCAAACTAAGTTTCCTTTTACATTTTCTAGGCACTTCCCTTTCTCTGGAGGTGATAGGAATACAATCCTGTCCTGATAGTGCCTGACAGCCCAATAGCACCTTATTTCAATGTGACTAGTTTGGAATGTGAGGATGTGACTGTTCGCTTCCTAGCTTATGGCTGCCTCTGCTGCTTAGCCAAAGGCCTTAGCCTAAGAACAGGGCCTCAGACTGTCACAGTAAGAGAAGGACCTTACACTGGCAGACAGTGATTTTGATTCTTTCTTTTATACCTCTAACTAGCCAAGTGATAAGAATACACCTAAATTCTTAAAGTACAGGCCTTTACAGACAGGCCTGAATATCTATATCCTAACAGTGGTCAGAGCTCTGGAGTGAAAGCCTCTTGGCCTGCATCTATTCCTGACATTGAAAGATTTGTTTTATGACCTTAGGCAACACACTCCACTTCTTGGTGCTTTAGTTTCTTCACCATTGAGGATAACCATATTTCCCTTCCTCCTGGGATTATGAGTCTTAATTAACTATTGTAAAGTGCTGTGAGCTCCTGCACATGCAAGGATCCCTAGAAGTATGTGTTATTTATTATTATTTGGATATTTCCTCCTGAATTAATCTCATGCCTGAACCTAAATCTTTGGAAGTATTTCTAACACAATCCACATGCAAAATCTCCCATTTAGCTCAAGGACTCCAGATCAGGACCATGAGGTGATGCTCTCTGGACAATTATATCTGATACCACTAAAGGCTCCTTCATCCAAAACCCCTGCGTAGTCACAGGAGTTGCAGTGTGGGATCAGACCAGGGCTTAAATTCAGCTGGAGCTGTCCAGAACAGAGCTCTAGTAAATATGTGCAACCCTCCTGGAGTTTTCTTAGCATGTTGCCAGGGGAGGGCAGTGTAGGGGGGGGGAAGAGGACATAGAGGAATCTGGGAAATACTCTATCAGAATTTAAACCCTGGAATTAAGGGATCTCCAATTTCCAAGCAAAGACTTTCTAGATGGATATCTGGCTGCATTATCTATTGCTATCAGTCTCATGACCTTCAACCTCCTTCTAGAGTGTTAACACACCCTTCAGTAGCCTTTCTTAAGAATGTTCCTGTCACGGACATATGTAGAGCTGCAACCTGGATCTCCATTCCTACTTTTTCTGAACACTATGCAGTTACTCAGGCCTCAGCCTCAGATGCAGTGTTTGGCTCTATTGTACTGTCTTCAATTTTGGACTTGACTCCAAAGCCCCACACCTCCATAGAGAGTACTGCTCAGTGATTACCTAGAGTGAAGCACCCATAGGGACATTACTCAAAGAAGTGAAGGTTTGTCACATTGTGCAGTAACTGCGTTCCTTTGAGATGTGGGTACTCTACTACTCACCCTCCTCCCCTCTGCTTCAGAGTTCTTTGCCATGGAGTTTTGCATCAGAGAAGGAACTGAGGGCAGCTCACCCATGCAACTCTATACAGACACAGTGCAGAGCACGAGGCTTCATGGAGCACATGTGCAGACTGAATAGGCACGGCTACCTAAAATCTCTGATCTGAGGCACATGGAGCACATATTCACCTCAGTGGAGCACTCACGAGGACACACACCTTGAATAGGGTTGCCAATGTTCTTATTGCACAAAATCAAACACCCTTGCCCCGCCCCCTGCCCCACCCTTTCTCTGAAGCCCTGCCCCCTCCCTCCGGGACCCCTCCCTCCATCGCTCGCTCTCCCCCACCCTTATTCACTTTCATGGGCTGGGGAAAGGGGTTGGTATGTGGGAGAGGGTGAGGGCTCCAGCTGGGGGTGCGGGCTCTGGAGATAAGGGGTTTGGGGTGTAAGAGGGGGCTCTGGGCTGGGGCCGAGGAGTTTAGAATGCGGGAGGGGGCTCAGGGCTGGGGCAAGACGTTGGGGTGCAGGAGCGGGTTCGGGGTGTGGGCTCCAGGAGGGAGTTTGGGTGCGAGAGGGGGCTCTGATCTGAAGCAGGGGATTGGGTTTTGGGTGGGGGCATGGGGTGCGGGGTCTGGGAGGGAATTAGGATGTGGGAGGGGGCTCTGACCTGGACAGGAGGTTTGGGGTTCAGGCTTCAGCCTGGTAGTGCTTATCTCAGGCAACTCCCAGTCCGCAGTGCAGCGGGGCTAAGGCAGGCTCCCTTCCTGCCCTAGCTCTGTGCTGCTCCTGGAAGCAGCTGGCATGGCTGCCGTGGTTCCAGGCCAATGAAAACAGCGGAACCAGTGCTCAGGCAAGGACAGAGTGCAGAGCTTCCCTGATCGCCCCTGCTCCTAGGGGCCGCAGAGACATGCCATCTGCTTCCCGCAGCTGCGCGGAGCTAGGGCAGGCAGGGAGCCTGCCTTAGCCCCGCTGCGCCGCCAACTGGACTTTTAATAGCCCGGTCAGCAGTGCTGACCGGAGCCACCAGGGTCCCTTTTTGACAGGGCATTCTGGTTGAAAACTGGACTCCTGGCAACCTTAATTCTTGAAGAACCAGTTACTGCACAGGGTGAGTAGCCTTCTCTTATGGCTCAACCATACGCTTGGACACATGTACAGTTATAGTGTATTCTCACCTTAAGGGTTGGCTACTTTAGTTATCTACGTAATGTTTCACTGGGTCCAGATAATGTTGTTTCTGCTAGTATTTTGTTCTTTTCATACTCTCTGAATTTTAGTTGTTGTCAAGAGCAACAGATTATATACCTCCTGAGTCATAAAGTATGATGTCTGAATTTTGTTTAAGTTCCTTAAAGCTGTTTTTATTCCACGTGAAATCATCAAGTGTCCAATTTTCAAAGTCTTCTATGAAGCAAAGAGACTACAAGGTGTGTATGTAGGAGGATGTTGTATGCATGTATCTTTGCGTGTTCTTATGTATGTGTATTTGCATGTATGCATGTATCCATTTTTGTATTTCTGTGCTTGTCTTCATCTGTGCATGTATGTACCCATCTGTGATTATGCACGTGGCATATGTACACTTTTATGTGGGTGTGTGTGCATACATATGTTTGTGTGCACTCACGTGTGCGTGTGTGTGCTTGTGCATTTGTCTGCGTGTTTATCACTGTGACTGTGCAGAAGTGTGCATGTGAGCACCTGTACAAGTCCTTGTGAATTTGGGTATGTTTTTTGTGCATGTTGATAAATGCAAACTAATGCACATTGGAAAACATAATCCCAACTATACATATAAAATGATGGGGTCTAAATTAGCTGTTACCACTCAAGAAAGAGATCTTGGAGTCATTGTGGATAGTTCTCTGAAAAAATCCACTCAGTGTGCAGCGGCAGTCAAAAAAGCGAACAGAATGTTGGGTGTCATTAAGAAAGGGATAGATAATAAGACAGAAAATATCATATTGCCTCTATATAAATCCATGGTACGCCCATATCTTGAATATTGCTTGCAGATGTGGTCACCTCATCTCAAAAAGGATATACTGGAATTCGAAAAGGTTCAGAAAAGGGCAGCAAAAATGATTGGGGTATGGAATGACTTCCATATGAGGAGAAATTAATAAGACTGGGACTTTTCAGCTTGGAAAAGAGATGATTAAGAGGGGGATATGATAGAGAGCTATAAAATCATGACAGGTGGGGAAAAAGTAAATAAGGAAGTTTTATTTACTCCTCATAACACAAGAACTAAGGGACACCAAATGAAATTAATAGGCAGCAGGTTTAAAACAAACAAAAGGAAGTATTTTCTTCATACAACGCACAGTCAACCTGTGGAACTCCTTGCCAGAGGATGTTGTGAAGGCCACACCTAAACAGAGTTAAAAAAAGAACTAGATAAATTCATGGAGGATAGGGCCATCAATGGCCATTAGCCAGGACGGGCAGGGATGGTATCACTAGCCTCTGTTTGCCAGAAGCTGGGAATGGGCAACAGGGAATGGATCACTTTATGATTAGCTGTTCTGTTCATTCCTTCTGGGGCACCTGGCACTGGCCACTGTTGGAAGACAGGATACTGGGCTAGATGGACCTTTGGTCTGACCCCCCGTATGGCCGTTCTTATGTGCACATTTGTCTTGTTAGAAAAAAATGTTGTGTTGGTATTGTTTAAATGTGTTTAATTCATTGTTTTAATAATGTATATAAGATAAAGGTTATGTAAATCACTGGCTCTAATGAAATCCAATACGGAGTATATCATCTGTGACCCCTGGACTCCATCTTTGTAAGCAAATTTGTTTACAGCTTAGACACTGGAGCTCCCTGGCTCAAACCAGACAGAACCAGTTTTTCCTGCCAAAACCAACCCCCAACACTCTATTCCATCAGAACTTTTCCCGCCTTAAAGATTATATAAGATCTTGCTCAGCGCCTGCACGGGGCTGTCCATTCCAGTGGCAGCGTGCGCACGGTTGGGTCTTCCCAACGTTCCAGAGCTAGCGAGAAGAACATCATCTATCCTGAAGCAAGACAGAGAAAGGAGGGGCCTGTCATCATCATCATTCCCGCCACAGCAAAACCATCTTACCTGTGAGGGAATCCTGCAACTTTCCTGGTGTCCATCATCCCAGAAGGTCTCCCCGCCTGCGACAAAGTCCACCAGTTGTCAGGACTCCCCAGTGGTCCTCTTCAAAGGCTCCCAATCAGCCAGAGAGTTGAAGGCCCTAGGCCTCGCGTCGGTGCATAGCATCCGCTGTGCCTGAATATAGTAGGAGAGGTTTCTGTATCGGGGTTTCATTTATTATTTTTCTGAACACCAAGGGAGGTTTTGCGGGTCTGAGCTTCAAGCTCCTAAAGCCAGTCACTGTTTCATTGTATTGGTTAGGTTTGTATTTCTTCTCCCCCCCCACCCCCATTTCTCCCAGTTTTCTGTACCTTTACCCTGAATACACTTACCTTTGTTTGCACCATATCACCTTGTCTTCTCTTTATTTTATTTACGTTACACAAGGAGGGCGGGACACCCTTACTGTAAATTAATCCACTGGCGACAGATACAGGAGGGAGTCGAGTCTGCACCTTCGGAGAAAAGGGGCTTTCCTTTTATCTCCCCTTTACCAGTTCGAAAGTTTTCCTTTCTGAAGCGTTGCCTTATTCCCCCTGAGGGAACACTCTCTGTGTGTGGAGAGGAGCATGCGTCTGAGCCACACACGAAGGTATCTGCTTCTTTCGGAAACGCTTGTGTCCACGCCAATACAGTCGGCTAGACTTGAATAGTGGGTGTTCACGCACGTGCATATGTGTTTGCATGTGCGTGCGCACGTGTTGTGGTGTGTGCACAGGCGTAGGTGTGAGTGTTGCTGGCCTCTACTCGGGACACGTATCTCTTTGTTGCAGACACGCCGGAAATTACAGTTACACACACACGCTCCCCAGGCTCCCGCCTCCCGCTCCCCTTTGGGTCAACAACGGCCCCGCAGCGTGGCTGGCGCGCGTCGGCCGCCGGAGGGCGCTGGAGGCGAGCGCGGCGCTCTAGGCCGCTGCGCTCAGCCGGGCTGGCTCTATGGTGCTCACTCTGCGAACCCCGCGGCCCCCGCCCCACCGCGGTCACACCATCCGCCCGCCGGCCGCGGCGCTGCGTCAGCCGGACAAGATGGAGACCGCCGAGGAAGGTAACGCGCTCGCTGGCCGCGATCACCCCTCCCCGGGCGCGAGGGCCAGGCGGGTAGGGGTCCCGGGGGGGGTGTTACACGCGGGAGGGGCCGCCCCCAACCCCGCGTCTGGGGCTGCAGGTGCCTTGCGGCGGCAGCGGGAGGACAGGGCGGGTGGGGGAGGTGTCCGTGCCGTTGTGCGCGTGGGGGGTCTGGGCAGTGTCTGGGGCGGCGGTGCGTGGAGTGGAGGGGGTGCCGGGGGGGGCGGCGCGTGCGGGGGAGGGGGTGTCTCTTATGTAACCGCTGCGGCGTTGGGGGTGAGTCCGGAGCCGGCGCTTGGGGGGGCTGCAGGCAGCGGGGCCCACCGACGCTGAGCCGTGCCGGGCTCGGGGCCGGGTGGGCGGGGCGGCCGGCCGGGGGCGCGGCTCGCCGTGCGGCGGGATCCCGCGGCCGCAGGGTTTATTGTGATGCCCAGCTCCCCGGTGCGGCGGGCGCTGCTGGCGGTCAAAGGGCGCTGGGCACTTGGGCGGAAAACTCCGCTTGTCGCGGAATGGGCGCTGGGCCGCTTTCAGTTCCCTCGGCAGCGCAGCAAAGTCTCTCCGCCTGAAGGAGGGGAAATCTCGTGTAAGAGGTGCCGCTGTCCACTGTCAGACGTGTGTATTCACATCTCACCTATTCTCAGACGTGTGTATTCACATCTCACCTATTCTCGGCCCCCCAAATATCTTGTGATAGGGAAAAGTACTTGGTGCATCTTTACTTACGGCTTTTGGGAAAAGCTAAATGTATTCTGTGTAATTCTTAAAAGTGAAAGATGATTTGGAAGGCCTGTTTCTTTTAAATACAAATCTTGGGTAATGTCAACAATATAAGTGGTTAGGGCTCTCAGCCCAGAGGTGGCAGATCCATGTCCAGATCCCTTTTCCTCAGCAGGAAGAGGGGAGACTGGAACTGGTGGTTTCCCATGTCCTCAGTGAGTAAGTACCCTAACTACTGGGCTAAAGTTTATAACGTAGGGGCCTCCTCTTTGGCTGTTCTGTGTGATGTTAGGCAGCCTCTGAGTGAGCGTGCCTAGTGGATCTGGCCCTACAGATATAGCAGCAACCATATTGGGTTAGGCCAACGTCTCGAGCCCCAGGGTCCTGTCTTCTGTCAGTGGCCAGTACCAGATGCTTCAGGGGGAATGAACAAAAAATGGCAATTTGTCCTATGTCACCCATGCCCTGCTTCTGGCAATCAGAGATTTAGGGGAACACACAGCATGGGGTTGCATCCCTGACCATCATGTTTAATAGCCATTGATGGGCATATCTTCCATGAACTTATCTAATTATTTTTTGAACCCAGTTATACTTTGGGCTTCCTCAATATCCCCAGCAAAGAGTTCCACAGACTGATCGTGTGTTGTGTGAAGTAGTACTTCCTCATGCTTGTTTCAGATCCGCTGCCTATTCATTTCATTGGCTGACCTCTTAGTTCTTGCGTTTTGTGAACCAGTAAATAACTTTTCCCTATTCACTGTCTTCACGCCATTCATGATGTTATATATCTCTATCATATTTCCCCTTAGTCATCTCTCTTCTAAGCTGAATAGTCCCATTTTTTAAAAATTTTCCTCCTGTCGAAGCTGTTCCATACCCCTAATAATTTTTTATTTGACCATAAGCTTTCTTGAGCTGCAGCTCACTTCATCGGATGCATTCAGTGGAAAATACAGTGAGGAGATTTATATACACACAGAACATGAAAAAATGGGTGTTATCATACACGCTGTAAGGAGAGTGATCACTTAAGATGAGCTATTACCAGCAGGAGAGCGGGGGGGGAAGAAAACCTTTTGTAGTGATGATCAAGGTGGGCCTGTATTTTCCACTGAATGCATCCGATGAAGTGAGTTGTATCTCACGAAAGCTTATGCTCAAATAAATTGGTTAGTCTCTAAGGTGCCACTAGTACTCCTTTTCTTTTTGCGAATACAGACTAACACAGCTGCTACTCTGAAGTCTAATAATTTTTGTTGCCCTACTCTGTACCGTTTCCATTTTTTGAGATGAGGCATCCAGAACTGCATGCGGTATTCAAGGTGTGGGTGTACTGTTTAAGCTGATTTAAATGATACATTACATACCACAATTACTATAGTAGTTCTGCAATTTTATATTTGAATTTCTTCAGAATTCTTGAGTGAATACCACCTGATCCTGATGACTTATTGATGTTTAATTTATCAGTTTGTTCTAAAACGTCCTCTGACTCCTTAGCCTGGGACAGTTCCTGAGACTTGTTGCCTAAAAAGAATGGTTCAGATGTAGGAATCTTGCTCATATCTTCTGCAGTGAAAACCAATGCAAAAAATTCATTTATCTTTTCTGCAAGGGCTTTGTCTGCTGTGAGTGCTTCATTAGCACCTTAATTGTCCAGTGGTTTTTTGGTAGGCTTCCTGCAGCTGATATATTTTTGCTATTTACTTTTTAAACTTATTATTCTCTCAAAAAATCAGTTAAATTGCTGGTGAGGGTTGAGGTTTGAGGTTGTGAAAAAGTGTAATAAAGAAGACCTGTAAATTTGCACAAAAGAAAAAAATGTAGTTAAGGTATTTGTTGACAACCCTACAAAAATCAAGACAAGAGGCACTAGTTTTCATTTTTCTTCATGAATGTTGGGCCTACTTATTGCACACTGACGTTGACAGCATGAAGGCTGTCATTTTGAGGTAATGTAATCATGTATTTTATATTTCAGTTTCTTGAAAAAAAAGCATTAGAAAACTGGGAAATAAAATAAAATAGATACAGTCTACAACTTCCTGCAATTATTTTATCAAACAGGAGTAGGTGACTATCAGTGGATCTGCACTTCATGGTCGTGCCCTTCTTTGTTGTTGACTCGATGCATTCAGCACTTAATGCTAAAGTCAGACTCTTTAGAATCAGTTAAAAGCGCACTTGCAAATGTTAAATAACTGCTTAGTCTTTTATACTGTCTTCATAATGGCCATATCTATTTTTGGACTTGTGATGAGGTGCACTGCAAATTTATCTTAAGTTTCAGCTGATTGTTTAGAACAGTAATGTTATTTTTTAGTATGGGATTCTCTCAGAGCAAAGAGAAAATGTTACTGCACTAGATTTTTTTAGTAGTGAAATAAACAAGCCTCTAGATAAAAGAGAATACATTGAATTGAGTCAAGTCAGAGGCCAGATCTACGCTAGAAAAATTACCGATTGCTGACACCAGTTGTCAGCAGCAGGTCCAACACTGGTTAAACTGCACAGCTTAATTTGCATTTGGAGAACAGGACACAGAGTGTTCAGCACCATTTGAGAAAACCCTGGTTAAGACTTTCTTGGAATAAATTTCATTTTATTCATTGTTTTCTGAAATGGTGTTGATCATGAAAAGCCATGTTCTAAACTTGCAGTGTGCTGCTGATACCTCTTCTCAGCAACAGGTAATTTTTCTAGTGTGGACCAGGCCAGACTGGCTAGTTCTTTAGTACACTGAGAATCATTAGGGCTGTTTCAGTAGGCCTCTGGAATACAGTATATAGGTTATGTCTAGTATGTTTGTATGTTACTCTGGAGCTTTATTTGCCCTCAAACTCTACAGTTGCTCTGAAGGCCTATCCAAAAAAAACACTTAGAGATTTTGCCCTCTCCCTCAAAGCTAGGACTTTGGCGCTCAGACCCTGGCATCCATCTTTCATTTCCAGGGAGTTTCCCTTTAAGAGTCTTCAGCTTCCTCCAGAAATAACTCATCAACAACTGTAGAGTCTGATAGCATCATGAGGGTATGGAGACTAGCTAGGCTTCCTCTCACTGCCCTGCAAAGCCAGGAGGACTTCAGGTGAACATGGCCCAAACAGCCTCTCCTTTTCCCAGGAGCACCATGGCAGTGCCTTTACAGCCTCAGTAGCCTTATTATGGCTTCATTTCTGGACTCTGAGCATCATGGGGTTGGGAGACTAACTGGGGTGGGAAGGGTGTGGAAAAGGGGGGTGATTTGGGGTCAGAGAATGAGCAGACCTGAACGACAGTTTCGCGACCTCAGACCATAGTGGCATCAGAACATATGCTCCATAACTGAGCAAAGGATTTGCTGCTCAGTAGCACCTGACATGTTTATGGATTCACCTCTGCTAATTGGGTAGCAGCAGAGTGTGTCAGAAACCTCAGAAACATTGGTTGCCTTCCTGCTGCACCCAATGGAGGTTGGGGCTTATATACAGAATAGGGTCTGAGAGACTCATGGAAATAGTTGTTTTAGGGAGGTGGGAAGCTATTAGTGCTAGCAATGGAGTATAGCCTCCTGAGGAGGATAAACAAAATAATAGGCAGCAAGCCCATTCCTGATGGCGGAGTGTGTAAATGTTGAAGGAGCTGAGGGGATACACCTGATAGGGATAGAAATTGTATGGTGGGCCATGAATGCTCACAAAATTGGGGTTGGAGTGTGGGCTCTGGGGTGGGGCTGGGGATGAGGAGTTTGGAGTGTCGGAGGATGCTGTGGGTTGGGACTAAGGGGTTCGGAGGGCGGGAAGGGGATCAGGGCTGGGGCAGGGGTGCAGGTTCCGGCTTGGGGTGCAGGCTCTGGGGTGTGGCTGGGGATGAGAGGTTGGGGGTGCAGGAGGGTGCTCCAGGCTGGGATTGAGGGGTTTGGAGAGCGGGATGGGGCTCAGGGCTGGGGTTGGGGTATGGGGAGAGGCTCGGGGGGGTGCAGGCTTCGAGCAGTGCTTACCTTAAGTGGCTCCTGGAAGGAGTTGCATGTCCATTCTCCAGCTCCTACGTGGAGGTGTGGCCAGGCAGCTCTGCACGCTGCCCCATCCGCACGCACAGCACCTCTAGCTCCCATTGGAGCGCGTAGGAGCCGGAGCGGGGCTATGCCGTGGCTTCAGGGAACCATGTGGTGCGGCCCCAGCGCCCTGGCTGGAGCGGGGCCTAGCTGCGTGGTGTGGCCCCCGACCCAGCACCCCAGCTGGAGGGGGCCGAACCGCGTGGTGCAGCTCGCGGGCCGGCTTAAAA